AAGAAGTGAGTGAATAAGAGAGCAAATTGATCTATTTTAATCTGGTGGAATTATTGTGGCGTTATTGGCTAGGCTAAAACTTTTGACGCAATATCAATTTGCTTGCCGCAAGTCTCTATGCCGGCTGTAGTCCAATCGTGTGTCCTAGGACTATGTGTAGCCAGTGTAGGCTTGAAATTTAGGCTCATAGCTGAAAAAAGAGTGTGCTCTAGCCTATCGATGGGATATTCTAGTCTTGACGATCGATTGATTGCATGGGGATCCATGGTTTTTCGTCTTTTTAGCAAGCAAATGTGGTAACCTAGTCGTATTTTATTATACAAACAACAACATGGTGTTGTAATGATTGTCGGCCGAGTAGAAGAAGAGAAAAAGGATTCCATCGTGGAAAAGTTCTCCTTTTTGCCCATTGCTTTTTCCATTTTTTATTTCAAGTGCATGTTCATTTTACACTGGAGTATGGCAATCATTTTTAGAGAGGAAAGATAATGTAGTCTACTTTCCTCATGGATAGCCTTGTTGCATCAAGATTGGTTATACAATTGTCTGTGTTGTTGGTGCATTGATTTGTCTATGTTGAAAGGGAGCTATCAAGCACTTACCTGCAAGTCGAATAGATGGTGGTAAAGATGTGTTGTTGATTTCTTCAAGGATAAGCAGTCAATGTTGAAGCCAATTGGTTTGCAATAACGATTCCTTCTTGCGTTATAACAGGTCTCTAATGGGATGGGAATACTACAATTCCGAATGAATAAAAAGAACAATGTCAACCAATTTATTGTCGATTTTTTTGTTGACAAAAGGAAGCAAACCCCTTTGGTAAGAAAAATGCATTTTGCTGTATTTGATCGACCTTTTTCTGACTTGTCAATTGCTGCAATACAGGAATAATTGCAATATTCAAAGTACACCGTGTCCAATAAAGGATATGGATGATCAATTCGCCTACAATCCACCAATTGGAAAGTCAACAAGATTGCATCTTGCTTTTAATGTCTTGGCCAAGACAAGTTGAATCAATCGATGATGATCGACTGTGATGTGACAAAAAAGAAAGCAGTTATATCTTGTATCAAGATGGACAATGATATTTTAAAAATATCCCATGGTTATTATCTTGTTGTGTTATTCTAAACATGACTAATATCTTTTTTTTGCCAAGCGATAAACAGAGTAAACAATTCCTGTTAGGTCAGCTGATGCCATACAAGACAGTACATTTGTTGATGACAACAGCGTTGGAACAATGTTGGTATTTTTATTTGGAGACCATTTTTCAATGTTGTTGATAGCTGTGTTGATTGAAATAGTGGACTTATGGACAGGCGGAAGGCGGTAGTGATGCATTTGGTTTTGCCTCAACTTCTGTTGATGTAGTTTCGATAAGTCGATGAATTGAAGATGGAAATTCTAGACGCTATGCATGACTAGTTGATCATCGTCTTCATGACATGGTAACGTAGACAACAAGAGAAAATAAAGTAGTAGCTATGACGGTTACTTTGGATCGTCTATACAGTGGTCCTTTTTTGACGGCTTGGATGTATACTTGGATCTATTTCACTGTAGTCATGGATAACAGGACATTTTTCCATCAGCCGATCAAAAAAGTCCCTCCGATGTAAAATTTGTACAAGACATCGTTGAAATGATCGCACAGTCTGTAAAAACTCCATCCAATGTGGAAGGGAAAAACAACGATCTGCGCTAATTAACCGTTTGTCAGTCAGTCAATCAATCAAATTGAAAGTAATTGAGCCAGCCATTTTGCAAGGTATTATTACTTATTTTATCTACCTATTGATTTCTCTCTTTCCTTCATCCTACGTATTCATTCCTCAATCCATGAATACTGTAGTTGTAGATTTGTATTTGATTATTCTTATTCTTCTCCTGATTATTGATTATTATTATTTTTTTTTGGGGGGGGGGGGAAGGATGTGACGAAGAATGTCCGTCGGTCTGCACGCTTACCTGATTTTCCAATCGCACTTTTGAAGACCTTATTAATTAATTAAATCAAGAAGAGTTGCTTGCCTCAGTTCTAGCACTACTATCTTGGATTTTCAAAATGAGCTCGTCAACAGCTTTAAAGACATTATATGATGGTTTCAATGGATTGAGCAATGGAACCTTGTAAGGACTCTTTCCCTCAAGAGTATAATTTTCGCTTTTAAATCGATCCTGTACACCATTTTCTGATACTGTCTATATACAGTACAGTACTGAAGTGGATATCGTAGTCTATGGACACAGTACATCCAATATGGTGGATATCATCTGGTCAAAGTGCAACGAAATGCCGGTATCGACTTTGTGGACAAATCGTAAAATGTATTGATAGACCTAATGTACAATGTCTGTTTGCATGTTGATCTTGATGGCTTGAATTTATTTTCCATTCTGCCACTATTGTCCTGCATTTGAAGAACTCGTCAAAAGTTACAAGTACAGTAGTGGATGATTAATGTCGTAAGCGAATTATTTTAACTAGATCGTAGTCCATGTACACAGGATATCCAATATGGTGGATATCATCTGGTCAAAGCGCAACAAAATGCCGGTATCGGCTTTGTGGACAAATCGTAAAGTGGACTGATAGACCTGATGTACAATGTCTGTTTGCATGTTGATCTTACTTGATGGCTTGAATTTATTTTCCATTCTGCCACTACTGTCCTGCATTTTGAAGAACTCCTCCAAAGTTACAAGTACAGTAGTGGATGATTAATGTCGCAAGCGAATTATTTTAACTAGATCGTAGTCTTTGTGCACAGGATATCCAAGATGGTGGATATCATCTTGTCAAAGTACAACTGTTCATCTTGATGGCTTGAATTTATTTTCCATTCTGCCTCTATTGTCCTGCATTTGAAGAACTCGTCTAAAGTTACAAGTACAGTAGTGGATGATTAATGTCGCAAGCGAATTATTTTAACTAGATCGTAGTCCATGTACACAGGATATCCAATATAGTGGATATCATCTGGTCAAAGCGCAACAAAATGCCGGTATCGGCTTTGTGGACAAATCGTAAAATGGACTGATAGACCTAATGTACAATGTCTGTTTGCATGTTGATCTTACTTGATGGCTTGAATTTATTTTCCATTCTGCCACTACTGTCCTGCATTTTGAAGAACTCCTCCAAAGTTACAAGTACAGTAGTGGATGATTAATGTCGCAAGCGAATTATTTTAACTAGATCGTAGTCCTTGTGCACAGGATATCCAAGATGGTGGATATCATCTTGTCAAAGTACAACTGTTCATCTTGATGGCTTGAATTTATTTTCCATTCTGCCTCTATTGTCCTGCATTTGAAGAACTCCTCCAAAGTTACAAGTACAGTAGTGGATGATTAATGTCGCAAGCGAATTATTTTAACTAGATCGTAGTCCATGTACACAGGATATCTAATATAGTGGATATCATCTGGTCAAAGCGCAACGAAATGCCGGTATCGGCTTTGTGGACAAATCGTAAAATGGACTGATAGACCTGATGTACAATGTCTGTTTGCATGTTGATCTTACTTGATGGCTTGAATTTATTTTCTGTTCTGCCACTACTGTCCTGTATTTGAAGAACCCCTCCAAAGTTACGAGTACAGTAGTGGATGATTGATATTCGCAAGCGAATCATTTTAATTGGAAATATTCCATTTAGACAACAGCTGCTTGCCTCAGTGCTGCTTAGACCGGTTTATATTTTGAATCAAGCCATCGAAAATTCCAAATACCCTTCTATGCAATCGATACGACAGACATTCTTCATCAAATTGTCTATCTAATAATAAATAATAATAACAATTGTAATGCAGTACATCAACAATGCAAAACATATTGTAATCTAGTCAATCCCTTTAAAATGGATTACTTCCGTGTCTCGTCTTTTCAATAAATTTATTACAAGCTCTCAATACAACTGTGTGTACATTGAATGGAAAACTTGAAATTTATTTCGCACTCGAGCCTTTTCAGGACTGATATACTATACCAATCGGCCATCATACCATCGAGTTCTATCATCTTGCAGTAAGTAGACCAGAAAGATTGAATCAACCTTGGCAGTCAAAATCGCCATGCACAGGAAATTTCTGAATGTACCCTTGTTGAAGTCGCGCAGCCGCTGTCGCAGTTGCTCTTCGGCTTATTGTTGCCGTATGGAAAGAAGAAGTCTATACGATAAGCATTGAAATAAAGTTTGAAATTATTTGACCGTTAATTTCAAACATTTGAAAGGACACTGTGTAGACTGTAGACAGTACAGTGTATAGTACTGTAATGTCCTATACTGTCGGTTTATCAGATACAGTCTGTAATAGTAAAGTGTACAGTGTAGGTACTGTACAGGCTGAGAGTTCATTAATTTGATTGATTAGTTAATGAATTAATTAATCAAAACTAAAACTGCATAATTTACCGTTAATAAGTCACTACAATTTCAAATTAATCGATCAACAGGCCTCAAAGTAGTTGCAAATCCAATCAAGTTGGTTGCAATCCATCCAAACTAAAACTGCATAATTGACCGTCAAGAAGTCACTACAATTTCAAATTAATCGATCAACAGGCCTCAAAGTAGTTGCAAATCCAATCAAGTTGGTTGCAATCCATCCAAACTAAAACTGTATAATTTACCGTTAATAAGTCACTATAATTTTATATTAATCGATCAACAGGCCTCAAAGTAGTTACAAATCCAATCAAGTTGGTTGCAATCCATCCAAACTAAAACTGTATAATTGACCGTCAAGAAGTCACTACAATTTCAAATTAATCGATCAACAGGCCTCAAAGTAGTTGCAAATCCAATCAAGTTGGTTGCAATCCATCCAAACTAAAACTGCATAATTGACCGTCAAGAAGTCACTACAATTTCATATTAATCGGTCAACAGGCCTCAAAGTAGTTGCAAATCTATTTCAACTTATACCCTATTCCACTGGACTTTTTCCATCGTTTGAAGAACGATAGATAGAGTGATACAGAGGAGAACATGAAAAGACAATATCCATTAACCTATGAACCCTTAAATGGTACTCTCGAGTATCCATCCTTCTTCAGGGATCGTCTAAACAAACGCAAAAAAATACAACCAATTCAATCTTTTGACACTCTTAACCAGCCAGTGTTACAAGCACAACGTGAAGAGCAACAACGACTAATTCGATTAGGTTTGATCAATGATCCATCCTGTTATACATCTGATACTGCTGATCAATCAACACCAGTGGGTACCTCGATCTCCAATCCTGTTATTATTCTCGATAGCAGTAGTGATGAAGAGGAAATTCAAGAAGTAATCTATCCATTATCCAAATCATCGCAAGATAGCAAAACGGTGGTCCACTCTGGCTCAAGCGTAACCAATCCTTCCGCTAGTTCTTACGCCGCTGTTATTGATAGTTGTAGCAAAGACAGAAATAGCCATAACAACAACAAACCAAAACATGAAACTTTCTATCTCCAAAAGATCAATCAACTTATCGACCAAAGTGGGCGAAAACAGGTAGAATACTGTATTGTACACACAATGACACCAACAAGACTCCATTTTGATACCGGACTCTTTCATATTTCTATCCACCTACCTTCCAATAATCGTCCTACACGGCCCAACAGAAAGAATCATACGCTAATCATTCTTTTCTTACTTAGGCCCATCATTCTCTCTTTTAATACTATCACTTTAGCTCATCTTTGAAACATATCTTATTCAATCTTAATGCCATCACGTATACCATTAGCTATAGTATAATTATCAACATTAATCATGATAAGCAGTCTTGTAGATAGATCACTTAATGCAATGCCTCTTCCATCAATACGATCGCTTGGACGAATCCTCACCGTCACATACGAAAAAAATTCGTAAACAATATCAGGCTAACTGCTCCTTTCATCGAGGCGATCGCTTTAACTAGTCCTGAAACACCTTCAATTTCGTCGAAATACTGTACCTTCATGCATAAGGCAAAAAGCGACGAATCATATCTAATTTAGTTATTCCAACTATGCGTATACATTCCATCAGTACCATCTCTCCAAAGATGTGCAACTCAATCGGATTATCCTCATATTTATGTCAAGTTTAGCAAAGAATCATAAACAGTAACAATCACTGCTGCACAATCGCTTTCACTAGTCCTGAAGCATCTTCAACCTAATCTAAATACCTTTAAAGCCTAGCCCGAATAGTAAAGAATCCAGATCAAGTTCATTAGTTATACTAACTGCTCATCCTATCAATACAATCCCCTCCTATGATCATGATCATCCATTCAATCCAATGTTTCCCGCATGAGGTCAAATAGTAAAGAATCATAAGCAATCTTGGTGAGGCTAATTATTTATTCCATGAACACAATCGCTTTGACTAGCCTTGAAAGATTTTAAATGTAGTCTAAATACCTTCAAGTCTAGCCCAAACAGTAAAGAATCATCACTCATCTAAGCTATGTTCAATGTTCATAGATGTTCAACCAATCCAATTATCTTCATGCTTATGTCAAATATAGTCAAGAATCATAAATAATACCAATCAATACAATCGCTTTGACTAGTCCTGAAGGATCTTCATTTAGTCCAAATACCTTTAAGTACCTAAAGTGTAGCCCAAATAGTAAAGAATTATCGCTCATCTCATTTACCCTATTCATAAATGTTCAATTCAATCCAATTATCCGCATGCTTAGGTCAAATGTAGTCAAGAATCATGAGTAATATCGATTAATACCATCGCTGCGACTAGTCCTGAAGGATCTTCAACTTAATAATCTGCATCCCTTTAAAGCCTAGCCCAAACGGTAAAGAATCTCACTCACCCTAGTTACCCTAACCACTCATTCCATCAGTACAATCCTCTCCCAAGATCATCAACTCAATCGAATTTTCCTCATACGATATCAATACAATCACTTTGACTAATCTTGAAAAATCTTGAACTTAGCCGAGTTACCTTTATTAAAGCATAAACCAATTGTAAAGAATCATACTAACCGAACCTATTCATTCTGTCGGTACTTTCAATCCTATCCCAAGATCTTCAATTTAATCTAATGATCCTCACGCATACTTCAAGTAACGAAGAATTACAAATATCTTGAAACTTACAGGGTTAATATGTAAAAGGCTTAATCGATTTATTTTGATGCCATTTTAAACATTAAGTGATCCTTTAAAGGCTATGCTAGCCAAGACTCCAACTCATACACCAATCCTACTGCATTTTAATCTTGCCATCTTTAAAGTTTAAAATCAATCTGTACTCCTAAATTCGAATTCATCGATAATACTTTAGTTCTCTATCAATGTAGCGAATACTCGTCGTATTATTTTATTGTTGATGGTTGACGATATTTCTTTCAACTATGAAACATAACCTGTATTAAAATATATATCTAGCAAGTAATCATTTCGTAATACAGAAAATCTTTGAACTGTATCCTCAGAGAAAATTACCGTAGATATGCTATACTGTAATAGAGAATCCAATAAGATTATAATTATCGATGATATATTAAACGAGATGCATAGAAAGTAAACCATTCATGCAAAATACAGTACAAAATGGTGTATTTATATCATTTAATAGTCCTAATACTTTCCCATACTGATCAACCCTACTCATTTTGTTTTGTAGAGTAGACACAATCAGAATCCTGTATTTATTGATTATAACTACAGTATAATAAAGTATATTTAAAAAAAATTTAGATAGCGGTAATCGTCATCTTATTGAAGTAGCTAGCACGATTTCGCTCCATAATTCTTATTATGCAGTATACTCTAGAAATACAATAGCAATAAATTTTCATTGCAAGCAAATACTACACGCAATATCGGTATTAAGCACTTATCAAAATTATTAGAAGTAAAAAAATTCAGATCTACATTTATCAAAAACAACGATTATATTATGAGTTACCCTCTCTGCTAACACTAAATAATGAATAGTTACGAAATTTTCGTTTTATAATAAAAAATGACAGGATCCACTTTTTGACAATTTGAAGATTAAAGATAGTGATCGTCCTGGAGAAGAAGAAAACATCGCTGATTGCTATAGTCTTAGTTCCGATGACGAAGAGCTTTTATCTGATGACGTCTACAAAAGTTATTTAACTCTTCGTAAGCCTCCCCCAAGTCGTGGAATAATTAATGTTAATCGCCCCGCCTCTGAGACGGATATTTGCATCTCTCCTCATTTAATTCCTATTTTGAAAACTCATCAGGTAATCAATTATATCACATGTGTAAATAGCATAATTGCTTACCTAGTAATTGCATACTACATATCAACTTTCTCGTATTCGTGACCTTAAATGGTTTTCATCTTCAATAAAGATTAATGAAACTCTTAAACGCTATTAATGATATAGCAGTCTCTCTGCTCTAGGTCATATAAGTCTTTAGCGATATAACAACAAACATTAAGCTATACTGTACTTTGCCGTCGTTATATTTGTTGTTGATGAATTCTAATATTGAATAAATGACATCCTATGGGTTAATATATAATTTAACTATCGATCATTGGATAGGTGGCAGGTATCCAGTTTCTATTTAACAATGTAGTGGAATCTTTTAAGCGCTACAGAACAAGTGACGGCTTGGGCTGTATTTTAGCCCATTCAATGGGTCTTGGAAAGACGTTACAAGTTGTTGCTTTCATCGAAATCTTCTTACGTGCATTAAGCGCAAAATGTGTTTTATGTATTGTACCTCTATCTACTCTAGATCACTGGCTAAATGAAATAAATTACTGGTTGCCAAGTTCTACCTCCGCTCTTTTCTCTGTAAGGAGATCTCGATAAAGCTGTAGCGATTATGTTGTAGAGCACGTATGAATGCAATATTGTACATGCACAATCTTCACTTTAATTTCTTCTTTCTACTACAGAAATTCAATTACCAACGCCCATTTAAGGTCTACCAAATCAGCAGTAATTGCAAATCATTAAAAGATAGAGCTAATATCATTAATGAATGGCGAAATATTGGAGGTGTCCTAATTATTGGCTACGATATGTACCGTATATTAATGACAATGTCAGCATATCAAAACAACACAAAGAAGGGAGAGGAAGTTGCTTCTCCCGACAGTATGGAAATTGCCGATTTAGATCTCATAGAAGAAAAATCGCAATACATTAAGGGTAAGTTTTTTAATAATATCTTTAATTAGTTATACGCGTATATCCATTATTTAATTAGTTCACCTACTAACTCTCATGATACTTATTTTGGTAAATTCCGTAGATATTCGTCTTGCATTATCAGATCCGGGCCCAGACTTAGTAATATGTGATGAAGGGCATATCTTGAAGAATGCAGCAACTTCTGTTACGAAGACTTTAAAAGAAATTAAGACAAAGTAATTTTCAATATTTCACTACCGTACGCATTATAGCGCGTGGTTGAGTAAATATTCTTTTTTATCGCTTAATCCAAACAGACGTCGAATAGTTTTAACAGGCTATCCGATACAAAATAATCTAATAGAATATTGGTGTATGGTGGATTTCGTTAGACCTAACTACCTCGGTGATAAAAAACAATTTTCTAACATGTTTGAACGACCTATAGCTAACGGCGAATGTGTTGATAGTACACCAAATGTATGCATACTATTATATTAACATGATCAGAAATCAACATTGGAAGTTTCATTAATAATGTTTGTACATATGATTACAGGACATTAAAAAAATGAGGTTCAGATCGTACGTTTTACAGAAAATGTTAAAAGGCTTTGTACAAAGGTATTATTGTAGTCGTACTATTGAGTATTTTGTTTTTATATTATTGATTAAGTATGTGTATACTGAATAATATTTTATTTCCGTCCAATTGTTGCCATAAACACAAGGCGAAGCCAAAAAATATTAAAAGACGCTTTATTACCCAAGAAGGAATACGTTTTACTGATTAGGATGTCACCTATCCAAGAAAAACTATATAGTACTTTCATGGAATGTGTAATTAAAAAAAATTGGACCAAAATTAGCTTAAAGATTGGCGCTAACGTTTTATTAGCCTTTTCTGTCTTGTATAAAGTACGTATGTACAGTATCTCATAAACTCTAAGATGTATTGTTCTGACTTACAGGCCCTACGGCTGCTAAATCACGATATACTTATAATTCAGGTTTGGAATCATCCTGACGTGTTACACCAGGCTATAATGCAACAAGATAAAACCTACCAATATGATATCTTAGTAAGCACTACGAACTTGAACGTAACTTTTTTAGTATAATTACGCTAATATCGTAGAGTTAAGTGCCATTTAATCTATAATCTGTAAAATTTACACCAAAGTTCACATACTGTCTGAGTGTCTGAGTGGTTACTAATAGTACTTAATGGAGTACTTTCAATAACTTAATAGAACGATGCAGATCGTGATTTGGAATTAGAACTTGGAGCTAATACTAGTAATGATAATTCTGACGTTCATGGCAATCACGAAACTAAAGTAACCAGACGTACCAATAAAACGGAAGACGAAGGGTCATCTATAGATTATTCATGGGTCAGTTAATAACTTAAATGCTCACTACTCTAATTGTAATAACTTGCGCTATACGAGTACAATATCTACGTTTTACAGGCGTTTCCATCGATGGCGCATTATGCACCTGGAGTTCTCGAACATGGTGGAAAAATGGTAATATTAATGGATTTAATTGAAAATAGCGTA